TACATAACTTAAAATTTACAGTCTTAGCCATTTTCGAGTGTATAGTATAGTAGTGTTAGACAATATGCATCGTTGTGCAACAGATCTCTAGAACTTTTTCATCTTGCAAAACTGAAATTCTGTGTTCATTAATTTTCTGTTTCTAAAGAGTTTGACTGTTTTAGATACCTCAGATAAGTGGTATCATGCAATATTTGTTTTTTTGTTTCTGACTTACTTCACTTAGTATAATGTTCTCAAGTTTCATTCATGTTGTAACATCTGACAAGATTTTCTTTTTTAAGGCTAGTATTCCACTGTATGCATATACCCTATTTTCTTTGTTCATTTGTCCATGATGACTGTTTTTGTCTCTTGACTATTGTGAGTAATACTACAGTGAACATGAATATGCAAATATCTTCTAGAGACCCTGTTTTAAATTTTATTTATTTATTTATTATTTTTTGAGTTTGGCATCTCACTCTGTCACCTAGACTGGAGTATAGTGGCATGATTACTGCTCACCACAGCCCTGACCTCCTGGGCTCAAGTGATCCTTCTGCTTCAGCCTCCCATGTAGCTGGAACTACAGGCATGTGCACCATGCCTGTCTAATTTTTTTTTTTTTTTTTTGAGACGAGTTCTTACTATTTTACCCAGGCTGGTCTCGAACTCCTGGGCTCAAGCAGTCTTCCTGCCTCGGCCTCCCAAATTATTGAAATTACAGGCATGGGCCACCATACCCAGGCTTTGGTTCCCAGCCTTTGGTTCTTTTGGATATATACCTGGAATTAGGATTGCTGGACCATATGGTAATTCTATGTTTAATTTTTTAAGGAAGCTGCATGCTGTTTTCATATCAGCTATACTATTTTACATTCACACCAACAGTGCATAAGCGTTCCAATTTTTCTTCACCTTTGCCACCACTTGTTATTTTTTGTTTTTGTTTTTATAGTGGCCATCCTAATGGGTGTAGGGTGATATCTCATTGTGGTTTTGGTTTTCATTTCCTTAATGATTAGTGATACTGAGCATGTTTTCAAATGTTTGTTGACCATTGGTATGTCTTCTTGGAGAAATGTCTTTTTTTTTTTTTTGAGTTGGAGTCTTACTCTGTTGTCC